TTGTCCTTAACATAATTTCCACGAAAATGTACGATATTAAACACCTTTCTCTGTCTCTCCTTTACCTACTCACTAAACTCTCTTGTGGATCAGACACAGTTACAAATTACCGCTTCTGATTTATAAATATCTAACAGTTTTGCTTTATCAATCTCAATTAACTTGCTTTAGAAGTACTAACCAGAAAGGAGAAGCAAAGGGAAAGAGATTAGGAAAGACGCTTATGTTGAATTTTAAAGAATGCATTGCTGGGAGGTCAAAATTAATACTGTATTCCTTTCAAATATGCTATTCCTCATGGGCATGAAAACACATTAGTAGTTAACACACACTCTCCTCAAGATAAAATAAAAGTTTCAAAAATCAAAATATTGATGACATTGTCCCAGTAGTTTGTTTTCAAAGACAGGAAACACTTTTCTAGTGACTTGGGCTAAGCTTGGGTTAGCACTGGTTGCTCAAATACAAAGAACAAATGAGAAGATGAGAGGTATATTAGTGACTTGCAATAGCCCCAAATGGGAAAAGGATAGGCTTGTTGAATATGAAGGAGACACCTTAATTCTCTAAGGTTCAGTTGGCACAACTGAAAAATTAGAATATTAGATTTACCCTTTATCCTCTAATATTGTTTTGATCTTATTACTGTTGTATAAACTTTTAGAATTAGATGATCTCTAAGTTAACTTAGGACAACTAAGTTATCATCTGGGATCCATGGATCCGAAGTAGTCCATACATCATGTGAGTGGGATGAAAACCTTTGTTATTTATTTGGAGTAGCTCCTTAGATGTTTCTACCAAATACAAAATTTCCAGAATCACTCCTAATCTTTCTATGGTTGGGAAATTCAGGACCACACAAGAAACATGACTTCTCTATTTTACATACTCAGCATCAGCCGTTGGAAACCTCATACCCTTAATCACAGGCTAATATTCTTTATTTGATATCAGACGTTATTTAGTCTGTCAACTAAAACTGTTTCTTGATAATACTCAGACTCTTCAACTTCAATTCCGTGTGGTTCAATGTCCCAGCACAAGATTTCTGGCAGATTTTGGATAAAACAAAAACAAAAACAAAAACAAAACACCCTTCTTATTATTAACTCAGCCCAGACGGTGATGTCTCACACATTGTCCTTGCTGGGTTCAATAAATCTGACACTTGTCCTGCTGAGCTGATGTAATCCACATCTCATCTCTCTTCAATTCGTTTGTATTCCTTTGATCACAATTGCCATGTATTCTGATGCTTTTATTCATAACTAAGAAAAACACTTTGGATACTGCCTTTGGCTTTCTCCCAAAAAGCCAACAAGATGACACCTTTTAATTCAACAGCCAATCCCTCTGTAGCTTAACCATTTCGAGTACATTCTAATATTGATTTTTATATATTTTTCCATTAATAATGATTTTCTATCTTTAAAAATAGGTACTCTCTTATTTCTTGCAATCAACTTGCTTGTCTTTTACTATGCTAGAAGTTGTTATTCATCTTGTAATAAAGCAAGGTGGTCTAAAGCCAAGAAAGCCAAAGTAGCATTTCAGTCACACCACATTGACCTACGAGATGCATTACCCTAAAATATGACTTTAAAAGATCCAGATAGCTCAGTTGAGGTCTTGGGGGGAATCTCCTACAACTCTTCTGTTCAGGCCACAAGTTTTCTCTTAACTTTGTTCTTAATCTTTTAGATAGATATAGGGCCTTGAGATTCTGTAAGTTTCCCAGCTCTTGTTATTGAGAGAAAGATGTCTTCATAAATCTCTCACAGATAAATATGGAAGATTAAGCTGTCAGGACTAGAAATTGTGTGCTGCAAGTCATTTCTTGTATGACGTAAGGTAAACTTCTTCACTTTTCTTGTTCTCATCTATTTTTTTTTTGTTTTGTTTATGTGGTGAATGTTAATTACACTTATGTTTTCTGTTCTTTCATAGAACATATGACTGGGACAACAGGAGAGAAACAGCTTTGTGGGCTTTTACGTACTACAATACTGTGATTATGAAAAACGAAAATGCAATAGAAACATTAGAAATAACAAGTAGAACCTAAATGGTCTTCAACAGAGGTGCTAAACAATTTGACTGCAGTAATTGTACAGGCTTTAGCTAAGCGTAATGTGACTGATTATCAGCTTTAACACAAAACATTTTCAGGCTTTTCTTAGTTGATGTGACTGCATCAAGGTGAGTACCTCCAATGTTAGCTCACGAAAGTTTTCACTGGCCGGGTGCAGTCACTCACACCTGTAATCCCAGCACTTTGGGAGGCTGAGGCGGGCAGATCACCTGAGGTCAGGAGTTCGAAACAAGCCTGGCCAACATGGCGAAAACCCGTCTCTACTAAAAAAATATAAAAATTAGTTGGGGGAGGTGACAGGCACCTGTAATCCCAGCTACTAAAGAGGCTAAGGCAGGAGAATTGCTTGAACCCGGGAGGCAGAGGTTGCAGTGAGCTGAGATCGCGCCACTGCACTCTGGCCCAGGTAACCAGAGCGAGATTCTGCATCAAAACAAACTAACAAAAAATATAGTTTTCATTTAGCATACATGGTTATTGTTTCTGCCTCAGGAATCATCATGTTCCAGGAAAATAAATAAGCCAGGTCTAAATATATCCTAAGAAATTTTGATAAGAAATAAGTAGCATCCTTAGTTCTGCTATGAAGATATTATTAATCTTATACTATATTTAATGAATAAATAAAGTTATATATGAAGTTTTTGTGCCCTAGCATTTGTAGCATTGGTTGTGTTAATAATCAGAATAATTATTAGTGATAATTATCAAGATAATATGCCAGGAACATTTCTGAATTTTTTTAGTTTACTTTGAAAATAAAGTTAAATAAAGGAAAAAATGGCCATTGTCATTGTGAAGAAACTTAGTAATGATTTTCTCCATCTGTAAAACGCACTAACCTGCATTTTGTTGTACTAATTTCTTTAATAATTATATAAAAATTATATAATTTACATTTATATGATAGCACATAATATCTGACTTTGGTTGGTTAAAACAACCTATCCAAAGTCAGACGTTACGTGCCATTGTATAAATGTTTTTATCTAACTGTTACTACTTGTGTTGGTTATCCTTAAATCCCACATATAGAGTATGCTCAACAATTTAAAAACTAAACATAGAAAAATACAAAGACTTCCATTATTTTGCAATATGGCAAACTAAACATTAATGGAATCACTTCCCATAACCATACAACTAATTTTGATGAATAAAATGTGAAAACAACAAAAACCCTGTGTACAGAATAGGAGAGAATTCTGTGAGTGCTGGAGCTGATATTCCCCTGGAGTCAAGTGTCCGCCACTGACAGCCTAAAGCCTCTATTATCATCAGCCAACTGCACTGGAGAGAGGAGGACAGCGACTAGGCCGCTGGCAGAATGGCAGCTCAGTTAAGAGAAATTCAGAGAAAACCAAGGCTTCTGAGCAATCATAAGTTAAAGTCAGTTAAAACCTGACTGGAGAGAGTTAGCAGAGATATGTTTACCAGTCTCTGATTCCCAGTGAAGCCGAACAAAAAAGAAAATGTTTACTACGAAAATTCTTTAAGTATTATTTTGTTTATAATTGACACACGATAATTGCACATATTTATGTGGTGCAGTTTGATGTTTCATTGCATGTATACATTGTATAATAAACAAATAAAGATAATTAGCCTATGTGTCATTTTAATTTATCGTTTCTTTATGGTGATAGTATTCAAAATCCTCTCTTCTAGTTACCTTGAGATATACAATACACTATTAGCTATAGTCACTCTACTGTGTAATAGAACACCATAACTTATTCTTCCTGTCTAACTGCAACTCTACACGCTGAGCAACTGCTCCCCCTTCCCGCCAACCCTCTATCTCTGATAGCCTCTATTCTACTGTCTATACTTTGTTTTGTTTTGTTTTGTTTTTTGAGACAGTCTTGCTCAGTCACCCAGGCTGGAGTGCAATGGTGCGATCTCAGCTCACTTCAACCTCCCTGTCCCGGATTCAAGCGATTCTCCTGCCTCAGCCTCCCAAGTAGCTGGGATTTCAGGCATGTGCCACCAGGCCCATCTAATTTTTGTGTTCTTATTAGAGACGGGGTGTCACCATGTTAGCCAGGCTGCTCTCCAACTGCAGACCTCAGGTGATCCACCCGCCTCAGCCTCCCAAAGTGCTGGAATTGCAGGAGTGAGCCACCACACCCAGCCTCTACTGTCTACACTTCTATGACAGTAACTTTTTTAGGTTCCATATATGAGTAATTTCATGCAGTGTTTTTGTCTATCCGGGCCTGGGTTATTTCGTTTAACATAATGTCCTCGCAAATTTCTCTGAGAATTCTTAACAGCAAGTTTGCATTTATATGAGTCTGGGGACAGATTTACCACCACCTTTGGGACAAAAATCTCCAAGCTGAAAATTTCTTTTAGAGTGGTTCCAGGTTGGTTTTACCCTCAGACTCCCAGAAAAGGTTAAAAAAAAAATCCAGAAGAATGTGTATTTTCAAAACAAGTCTCAAAGAATTCACATAAAATTCTAAGTTATATGATAAGCCTAAAATTAATATATATATAAATAAGAGGAAAATATTTAAACATTTCTCTCCATATGAATTAGCAGAAAATAATGAAATGTTAAACCCATAAAGTCTGCAAGTATTAGAATTATCAGACAAGAATATAATGTTGATATGTTGAATATGATTTTTTTTAAATGCTTTGAAAAGTAAGGCCAAGTAAATCTGAAAAATAATAAAATGTAAAATGCAGACATTAATGTAATAACAGGATTTAGAAACTCAATGCACAAAACACACAGTACAGCAGAAACATCGGATGTATCCTCCATGAATAAAATGGTGAATAGTAGTAAAGTAATTAAACCAACTGCAGAACAGAAACTACATGAAAAATAGGAGAGACTGGAAGATATATTGAATAAGGTAAGAAGATTTAACATAATCTATTTTTAGAGTACCTTATGCTTTTGGAGGCTTAGGAGGGAGAATCCCTTGAGGCCAGGAGTGTGGAACCAGCCTGAGAAATATAGCGAGACCCTGTGTCTGCAAAAAGAAAAATAAAACATTTAGCAAGACATGGCACACACCTACATTTCCAGCTACTCAGGAAGCCGAGGCTGGAAGATCCCTTGAGCCCAGAAATTTGAGGTTGTGTTGAGCTATGATTGTACCACTGCACCATTCCAGCCTGGGTGACAGAGCAAGGCCCTGTCTTTGGAAAAGAAAAAAAAGGTTTGGGGAAGTAGTGAGAATAAGCAATAATTTAAAAACATAGCAGAGAGTTTGAATACTGATGGAAAAAAATTATTCCGCAAATTGGTAACATAGATAATTCAAAAAGTAAATATTTTTTAAAAATCCAAATGAGAACATAGTAAAATACCAAAGACAAAATTAAAAGCAGTCAGTGACAAAATACAGACTAACTGTAAAAGGTCTATTAGATATTGGCAACAATAAAATTTAGAATATAATGTAATTACATCATTACAGTGATTAGCTAAAAATATTTAAAAGTAATCTTGGAAAATCTATGCCCAGTGAAATTATCTTTCAGTAATGAGGATAAAAATAAAAGTATTTTTAGGGACACACAAAGTAAAAACATATACTACCAATAAACTCTAAAAGAACTTCTAGAGAAATTCTTTAAGAAAATCAATTCCAAAGGAAGGTCTGAGGTTCAAGAAAAAATACTGAACAAAGAAAATGATATTATATCAGTAAAACTAAAGGCAAAAATTAATTATATTAAACAACAGTAATAGTTTAAAAATTAATCAATTAACATATATATAAAACCTGACCAAAAAGTAAAATAGTGGCAAGTGAGAGGAATTCTTATAGGAATAGATTCAATATAATTCTTCCTGTTAGCTTTAGAATTTATTAAAATGTATATATTAATTTTAAAAATTATAGAAAAGCTACTAAAATATAGATTTGATATAAATTCTAAACCAGTAGGTGGAAAAATTATAATGACTGAAAAAAAGGAGAAAGAAAAAATACCCTCAAATGGACGGACAGAATTTATAAACGAATCATAATCAACGTAGGGCTGAAGTAAATATTGTATTAAAATAAAAATAAAAATTGTCACACTGTATTTTAAGAATATATTTTTAAAAGTATTTCTATAAAGAAGAGAAAAAACACATGAGGCAAAATTCAAGCAAAATAAATATATTGGATGTGTCTATATTAATATCAGATAAAAGGTACTTTAAATCAAAATACAAATAAACAGAGTAATCAGACATTGAGAAAAGATTCAATTCACCAGAAAGATTATAAAATTGAATGCAATTAAAAACAAAGTTTCAAAACTTATAAAAAAGAAAAATTATGGAATCCCAGGAAAATGAAAAATTTATCATCATGAGAGGTTTTAACATATCTCTATCAGATATTAATGAAAAAATAAGAGATTAAATTAATAAGTGGAGGATTTGAAAAATTCAGTAGAATTTTCTGTGTCTTTTTTCCCCCCACTCCCTCTAGAAATCCAGTTACAATGATTCTAACGGAATAAATGGAATTAACCTATCACCCAAAAATAATGGGAAACATTACCTATAGTGGATGAGTTAATTTAACACATTATGGAAGACAGAATGTGAAAGTGATGGGAGACAGAATCACAGAAGTAACAGACTAAACTATATATAAGGGAAAATGTAAAGGGAGAAAGGAGATCATTTTCCAGACAGAAACCCAAAGATGTGCTAGCATAAAAGTTCACAGGTACAGAGAAAGTCCAACGGAAAACAGGAAGTTAGAGACTCTCTAAAAACCTGCCTCTGACTTAAAAATAAATTAAAAGTCTTTCATTATACTTCTGTAACTATAAATTTTCTCCATTTTTAGAAACAGTTAACCTAAAAGAGATATGCAGGAAAAGCATACTGTGAACAACATGATGATAATTTTTAAAAAACATTTCATGAAAATAGAAAAAAAGACACTGCTCACAAAACTGTAGCTCATACAACTGTCCTTTACCCTTTTGCTAGCTAGATATGCTGAGGCATAAAATTACAAATCCACATTTCCTTGCAACTAGTTATGTGAATATAAAATGGAATCTGTACATTCTTTTTTCCATGTGTCTTTAAAGTAACACTGCAGCCAGTGGCATCTTCTTGATCAGCTGTGGTTTTAGAAATAGTACTCCTATGTACTATCTTTTCAAAACTCAGAACAGTTTTGCCTTGTTCTGGGTGACAGCCCTGAAGGCCTAATCTACAACCTAGACTGGCAGTACTTTTAGTGATTTTCTGACTTGCCATATCCTTTAATCAAATTCCTTCCTTCTTAAAGTACTTGTAGAATTTTCTGTTCACTATAGTTATTCCTGACTGATAAAGGTATCCACTATCGTTGCTTCTCACTAACTTTTTTTATTTGAATATCTTAGCCAATACAATAAGATCAGAAAAAAGAAATAAAAAATATGAGTAACAGAAAGGAAGTAAACTATTATTAGGTGCAAATAATATGATTGTGTATATCTATGTCCATTAAATCAAGCTTGTTCATTGGGTGGTGTAAAATCCTCATTCTCACTCAATTTTGTCAGTAAGATCAATTACTATAAAAGGAGGGCATATTAATGACCCCATTTTAGTTTTATACTTGCCTACCTGTCCTTGTAGTAGGATCACTGCAACTCAGCAGAAATATGATTTAGAGTGGTCAGAGTATTTTGATAAAAATACTTTGTTGCCAACATGGTGAAACCCCATCTCTACTGAAAAATACAAAAATTAGCTGGGCATAGTGGCAGGCACCTGTAATCCCAGCTCCTCGGGAGGCTGAGGCAGGAGAATCACTTGAACCCAGAAGGCGGAGGTTGTAATGAGACGAGATGGCACCACTGCACTCCAGCCTGGGCAACAGAGTGAGACTCCATCTCAAACTGAATAGACAACAACAACAACACAACACTTTGTTTTTAATTGTCTGAGCTTTTTTTTTTTTTTTTTTTTTTTTTTTTTGAGATGGAGTCTTGCTCAGTCTCGAAGGCTGGAGTGCATTGGTGCCATCTCTGCTCACTGCAACCTCTGCCTCCTGGGTGCAAGCGATTCTCCTGCCCTAGCCTCCCAAGTAGCTGGGATTACAGGAACCCGCCACAACATCTGGCTAATTTTTGTATTTTTGGTAGAGACGGAGTTTCACCATGTTGGCCAGGCTGGTCACAAACTCCTAACCTCAAGTGATCCACCCGCCTCAGCCTCCCAAAGTACTGGAATTACGGATCTGAGACACTGCTACTGGACTGTCTGAATATAAAAATTGGTCTTGGTACAACATTTTGGATTATTTTTTTTTCTCAACTTTTTGAAAATGTTATTCTATGTTTGGGTTGCCATTGTTTCTATTAAGAAGTCAGCTAGCAATCTATTATTTGTTAATAGCAATCTTTTTTTTCTCTCATAAGTCTTTTATGAACATTGCCTTTTTAATTATTTAGTTTTATTACAGTGTGACAATAGGAATTATATTTTGTGTATCTTACTATGATTCATTTGGTTTTCTGAGTCTAATGATTGGTGTTTTGTAAAAAGTTATGGCAAATTTTTTAGGCATCATTTGTTCAAATATAGCTCTCTCCATTTCTTCAATTTTTAAAATTCAGGTGATTCAATTACGTTAGATTTTCTGATTCTCTTCTTCATGTTTCCTAATGTTTCATGCTTTCTATTTCTTTGTTTTTCTGTTATATAGTCTGATTAAGTTCCTGAATATATTTTCCAGTGCATTCTTTCCTCAGTTGAATTAAAACTACTGATAATGCCACATATTGAACTATTTAAATGATTTTATTTTTCACTTTCAGAAATCTTATTTAATATTTTTTCAAAGACATTTTGTCATTTTCATTATCATATATTACTTTATGTTTTTAAACTGCATTAACAAATTTGATTTTATGTCTATCAAATATTGAAAATGTTTTCTCTTTCTATCCAATGTCAAGTTGAGACAGAAATTCCTCATACCTATTCTGGATATGAAATTTGTCCGTTGTCCTCTCTACTTCTTGAGGTCATTAAAATCTAAGCTCAGATGTCTTTGGTTTGGCAAATACCCTGAAGTAACCACCTGTTTCAGTTCTCTGCTTATAACTCTGAGTTTCTACTTTCTATTATTTTTTGGCATCTAAAAATTTCTATCTTTCTTGCAAGATTGTCTGTGTTTTGAGAGGAATGGGTTTGTAAGAATATTTTATCTAGCAATTGCAATTGATTTCAACAAGAGTTTGTTCAGTTATCGAACTGTTTGTTCATATCAGTTTGTTCATACCATCTGAAACAAGAATTGATTTTTTCTTGTTTATTACTTCTTTCCCCAAATGGAATGAGGTAAAAGGAAAGTCTGGTACTTGGCCTGTCTTAATCAGCATTATATCTTGTGCATATAAAACAGTTTCTGATATGTATTAATATTTATTGAGTAAATACAAATTATGAGTACCTCTAGTTCATTTATTTTAATATTTATTTGCATTTTATGATTTCAATAAAATACAGAAAATTATTAACAATTACTATAACCTCTAAGTGTATTTACAATACTTTTATGTATTTCCTCATTTTTCAACTGTGAGTATGCATTAGTTTTTAGTAAGAAGATATTTTTTAAGAATTAAATATGTCATATGATAAATACATTTTAAAATTGCTAACTACCCAAAGAAAAAAAGTTACAGGTAATAAAACTACAAGTTAACAGTAGCTATCTATGGGTGGTAAAGTATAGGTTGTTTGTTTTTTAAAATTTATTCCATCTTTAAAATGTTCTATAATTATATATTGTTTTCAATAAACAAAATGTTTATTTTAATTCAATAGACACTCTGGATGGCCTAGAGGCAATTATTTTCTTTAAAATCCTATGTAAAATTTAAACATCTATTTTTAAACTGAAATATATTAATTGATTAATATATGTCTGACTAATGCTAAGTACCTTATGTATATTGTATCCATTTTTACAAGCCAATAAAATCTTTTATGCATAATGAAATTAAATACAGTTAAGGAACTTTTCATGGACATACATGTGTGTAAAAGATTGTAATAGCAGATAAACGACAACTGCCAGGGAAGACATAGAGCTGAAACCCTTTGTCTGTGACTTTTATGGAATGTCAAAGCCATGTCTTTAAATATTGGCCTAAACTTCCTCACCCCCTATGAAGAAGTAGTGTTCTCATCTATGAAACATCAATGGAATTTCATTAAAGAAGCAGTACTCTTGCTGTATTAGTTTGCTAGGGCTGCTATAACAAACACAGACGGGGTAACATAAGCAACAGAAATTTGTGTCCTCACAGTTCTGGAGATTAGAAGTCTGAGCCCAAGGTGTAAGCAGGGTTGGTTTCTTCTGAGGCCTGTCTCCTTGGCTTGTAGATGGCCACCTTCTTGCTGTATCCTCACATGGTATTTCTTTTGCGATCATCATGCACCATGGCTGCCTCCCCGTTTGTCACTCTCCTCTAATAAGGACATCAGTCATAGTGAATTAGGACCTACCAGAATCACCTCATTTTAACTTAGTTACATGTGTAAAGCTCGTGTCTCCAAATATAGTCATATTTTGAGATACTGGGGGCTAGGACTTCAACATATAAATATTTAGAGTAAGATAATTCAGCCTATAACACAGCCATACTGAAAGTGGGCAAAAATGTAGTTCTATGTTAATAATAGTGCTCTATAATAACTTGAAGCTAAAAAAGACAAAATCCTTGCAACTCTGTAGAATACAGTCTCTGATTAATACATACGGATATTTCTGGCTTGATTATGTTGGCATTTTCCCAATATATGGTTAAAATTTGTTGTCATGAACATTTGTTATAATTTAGTAGTTAAATTCAACAAGGAGCTATTGTGTTCCAAGTACCATGGGACATTTCTAGTAAGAATCCCTGATGCAACACCAAAGAGGCTTACGATATTACTAGTGTGGGAAGAGGAACCAAAAAAGATGTATATTAACTATTGTAATAGCAGAGAAAGCACTCAATAAATGACAGCTGTCAAGTAAATTATATAGGTGAGATACACAGTACATTGGATTTTAAAAGATTTCATTTTAGGGGCAATATAATATCAGTGTGCTTATTATTTTAATTGTGTGGTGGTTTGCGTGGACCCTTTTCCTCTTTGATTTAAGCATATGAGGTAAACATCAACATAGCTTTTGGGAAGACCATTGTTTTGTTCAGACATTATTAAAATCTATTTGAAAACATTTAATGTTTTTGTGGTATCTGATCATGTGACAAAGAAGGAGCTGCTTTATAAATTAATCTTACAGAATAAAGTAAGATTTCTTTTAGTATCTCTTGAAAAAAATAAATAAGAAGGAAAATGATTTCAGTCACATAACTAATATATCAATGCAAAAAATTCAAGGGTAAGATGTTATGGTTTTTAGAGATACAAAAAAGCAACAAAAGCTAGATAACTAAAGTAAGTGCAAGACACGATATAAAAATAGAAGGGAAGGATTACAAATTAGTATTTTAAACAAGGGTAACATTGTCTCTCAAAATTTGTCTCAAATGGTGTGCTTGACAATGTCTTAATCGCATAAGTATCAATGCTAAAGCAATCGAAGATGCCAATAAATTCTAAATCTCAGGGAAATTTCTGAGAAGCTGCCAGTGGAACTCTCATAATATGCATAATCTATTTGAGATTTAGTCGGTTGACAGAAATCAACTGATATAGAGAGGTCTATTTTATTATACCTATATGCCTGCTTTCCTACCTTATATCCTCCTTTGATTAATGCTATTGTGATTCTTATGCTTTAGAACAAAACAGAAGAAATCTATGTGTTTTTTTGTACTTTAAAAGCAGTGGTTCTTAAATTGAGTAAAAGACCCCTTTAGGAATTTAACAGAAGCTTAGACTTTTAGAAATATTTATTCATTGACTTATTCCTTCAGTACACATGTTGAATTCCAATTACGTGTTAGGTATTATTTGAAGTATTATGAATACAGCAACGAATTGAAAGATAAGATATATTATAGTAATAGGAACAAGGCCAGTCAAAAATAAAATAAAAAGATTATTGCAGGTTGTAATAATGTAATGAAAGAAATAAGCAGATTAATCAGAGATGAGACTAACTGTAGGATAACTGTTGTAGCTAGTGCTTCAAGGAAGCTAGTGCATCTCTGAGAATTTTATCTTTGAGCTGAAACCTGAAAGGTGAGGAGAACTCCAGGCAGAGGGAAGAACAACTTCAAGCACCCGGGGATGAAAAGGACTGGATATATTCAAGAAACAGAAAAGACAGCTGCAGTCATACCATAACGGGTAGAAGAAAAAGTACAAGCATGGAGCTTAAGTAGGGACCACAGTGTTTCAAGTCTGGAAGACAGCAGTAAGTAACCTGGGTTTCAACTAAAGCTTAATGAGGTGCTTCTGATAGTGTATAGGCATAATCCTATTAACATTTCAAAAAGATAGCTCTCTTTGTTGTGTTGAGGGTCAATAGAAGCAGCAAGAAGATCATGAAGTAAATGATTTTAATCCATCAGACACGGGAGGATTGTAGCTGGGGGGTAAGGTGGTGGCTGTAAAAATGAATATAACTATAAATAGAACTGGAAAGATTTAGAACGGCAGAGATAACCATGTGATCTTCTGGATTTATTTGGAAGGTGAGACAAAGGAGTGATCATGTCTAGTTTTTAGTCTGTAGCAAATATGTGATAGTGATGGTAGTTCCATATATAAAGATAAAACAACCTGGTAGAAAAGAGAATCAGGGATTTCTGTTTTGCATTTATTGAGACATATAGATACATAATAATACATATGTACAAAAAAACCTCAATAGGTCTACAAAACAACTGCTAGAACTAATCAGTGAGTCTAACAAGGTTACAGGATAAAGGGTTAATATTAAAAATGCTTTGTACTTGTATATGTTGGCAGTAAATAACTAGAAAATAATAATTGTTCAAAATCCATTCACAATAGCACGAAAATTCATAAAATACTTAGATAAATGCAACGGAAAAAATAAAGATCTCACACTAAATATTATCAATATTCTTGTGAGAAATTGAAGGTCTAAATAAATGGGATGATAAATTACATTCAAGAATTGAAAGTCTCAATATTGTTAAATGTCAATTACTCAAAAATTGTCTATGCTTTCAATGCAGTTCCAATCAAAATCCCACAGGTTTTTTTGGCAAACTCTATAAGCTGATTCTACAATTTATATGGAAGTTCAAAGAACTTAGCATTACTTTGCTAAGCACTTTCTTTAACAGAAGAACAAATTTAGAATAATTACCATACTTGATTTCAGCACAAAATAAAGCTTACAGAAATCAAGACACGTTAGGAGCGGCAAAAGTTTAAAGATACAGAGGGATGGGACAAAGTCACAAGTTCAGAAATAGACCCACACATATTTAATTGATTTTTTTACAAAGGCGCTAAGACAATTCAATAATCAAAGAAAATACTTTTCAATAAATATGACTAAAACAATTAAATTTCTAAATGGAAGTAAGATAAGAGATTCGTATCTCATGCCATAAAATGGAAATTGATTACAGACTTAGATGTAAATCCTAAAGTTATAAAATTCCTAGAGAGGTTAAGAAATGTTTTCTTAGAACACGAATATTATTAACCATTACAAAAACATTAATCAATTGTTTAATCCAAATTTTTGCTCCTTGGAAGCACAGGTAACAAAATCAAAAGGCAACCTACAGACTGGGAGATAATATTCACAACACATATACCAGATGATCTAGAGGACCCTTAAAATTCAAAAATGAAAAATGGAAACACTGTATAAGAGGTTCTGTCAATTGAAATATGGAAAGTAAAAGCAATAAAACATACGAAGTTAGGAAATAGGAAGTAAAACTCTCCCTTAGGGAGATAAAACTTTGCATATGCAAAACATAAACCCAATAAGTTTACGTATTCACCAACGCTTGATTTTTTTCAGTCTTTAATCCTAGCCATTCTGAAAATGCATAGCGCCATTCATTATGGCTTTAATTTGCATTTCACTGATGACTAATGATGTTCAGAATCCTTTCAAGTGCTTAGTGGCTATTTGTATATCTTCTTGTCTGATGTGTCTGTTCAAATCTTTTGCCCTCTAATACACTGCTAGTGAGAATTACAGGCAATTGTAAAGGTGGGGTCACTGTAGAAAGAGAAAGTGTTGGAAGCATCCAGGGTTATTTTTCACAAAACAAAACCAAAAACAAAATTAAAACAGGTTAAGAAAAAAGAAATTCCTTTATATCCCAGCTCAAATATAATCTTTGTTTTCATTTCTTTGCCACTCATCTTTTCCACAAAATTACAAAGTGCATTCCCTGTTCTATCTTTTAAATATCTACTATGTGTCATCATCTTGCTAATCAACATAGTTAAAAGCAGTAGCCAAGACAGTGGGTCCTGGCTGATTTGGGACTTAGAATCTGTATGTTTTCAAAATACATAGTTGATATTTCTATTAGAGCACATGTATGGTATTTTACAGTTAGCATTTGTCTGTCTTCCCCATGAGGTTGCTCGTTGACTACTGAAAGGTTATATGTTAACTTGTTTTATTCTACAACACCCAGCATAGTTCTTTGCACACACTAGGTACAGGGAAAGAAGAAGGAGGAAGGGAGGGAGGGAAGAGGAAAGAGGAAAATGATAATCCATTTGGTTTACTCTTTTATTTATTTGAATACTTCTCAGAATCTGAGATAAACAATGTTTCTATAAGATTACGAAGCCAGCACTGTTTAAAGAAAAATAAATCTCCCCAAAATCTACTGTTGGACATTGAGTTCATATTGAGGTATAATTATCCAGTTAATTTGACATTTATCTGGAAGACTGGCTACCCAGCTGAAAGCCAGTTTAGACAATATTCGCAGCTATTTCATGGAGATTTGCACAAGTGCTCATTTGTGCCTGCATGTGTGAAATTCCTGCTGTGAAACTGACTTCAGGACCAGATTTCAAGATCAATCTGTTCCATGTGCAACATCCCAGCTAGAGTACTGTCTTCTGAAGTCAGTCTTTCAGCCAAGTGCTTAAGTGAAGGAGGCTAATCGCTTTAGGTTGAATACCTGACTTAGGCCCCTCTCAGCCTACAAAACCGGAGCTAGCAACATGGACTGCCTGTGAATTCCATACCATGGTTACACACAAAACCCAACGCCTGAGTCTGCTTTGTGAACCCTTCTTAATATTCCCAGAAATATTCTCTTTTGAGGTGATATAGTTTGGGTATTTGTCATGTCAAAATCTCATGTTGAAATTTGATCTCAGTATTACAGGTGGGGCCTAGTGACAGGTGTTTGAGCCATGGGGCACATCCCTTTTGAATGGCTTGGTGCCCAGATCATGAGTTCTTGTTTTATTGGTTCCCCCGAGACCTGATTGTTAAAACAGTTTGGCAACTTTCTCCTCCTGCCTCTTTCTCATGCTCCATCTCTCAATATGTGGCATGCAGGCTCCTCATTTCTTGGGTCATGATTGGAAGTTTCCTGCAGTCCTCAGCAGAGGCAGACGCTGGCACCATGTTTCTTGTACAGGCTGTGGAAGCGTAAGCCAAATACACCTCTTTTATTTATAAATTATCAGCCTTAGGTATTCCTTTATGGTAAGGCAAAATGGACTAAGACATTTGGTGTTCTGGATTTAGTAAGAGAGAGAGGATCTGCTGCAGCACATTCCTGACCACTGGTATATGAGAGTTTTACAGTGTTGCCTCAAAATTAGAATCATAACCGAAACAGAAAAAACCAGGTAGCCACAGCTTCAGAAATCAAAAAATACAGAGAAAATACTACTACTAATAAAAATAACAACAACAATAATTTTCTTTACTTTATAATGTTCTAATCAAATATATAAATATAAATTCCTAAGATCAAAACATTCTATTTTTTATGCAAAGGAAGTGCTGCTAGGAGAGCAGAGAAGCATTTAAGTCATAGTAGGGCAGCAGTTCAGAGCTAGAACAATCATTTTTTCCCGAGTTTAACTTCATTTTAAAGAAGAAGAAGGAAGCTTGAAAGAGATTAGAAATTTTATTGTATTATATAAATCATTAAAAACACGATCTTTACTACAGAAACATTAATAGTGATTTGACCAGTAAAAGGGACAGGCTAAACTAGTTCTGCAAGAGAGGTTAACCTGGGTTATACTTTTTTTTCTCTAAAACCTTTTCCACTGCTGTTTCCTCTGCCTGGAAACATATTTTTTTAGATACGTACATAGCTCAATACCTCACCTCTTTTATGTTCCTGTTCACCAAATGTCACTTCACTGGGAGGACTTCTCTAATCATCTATTGTAAAATTGCAACCCCATCACTTTCTATTCCTTTTCTCCATTTTTCTCACTTTATAATGCTTATCACATTCTAATATCATACTTCGCATGTATTTCCTTACCTGTTTATTTTCTGTTTCCTCCTCTAGTATGTAAATGCCGATGGCAGGAACTTTGTCTTCCTGGTGCCTTCTAACAGTGCCTGGCATGGATTAAACACTCAGTAATTGCATGGGGGATTGATGGATAGATGAGTTTTCTCAGAAGCTCATCAAAGTCAAGCTTCTCCTTGTACTCTATCACTATCTCCATATTGCCCCATGCAAACACACACACACACACACACACACACACACACACAGCACCTACATTAACACACATGCACATGCAACCACCACACATACACAAGAATTTTTGTCTTTACTAAATTCAGCAAGCTCTAAGCCGCAAGATCTCCACTAGGTTCTGCTAATTTGGGTGCAGTATGTTAAGGAAGGAAAATGGGCTCACGATTTGGTCATAGCCTTTAAAGAACCTATTGTCTGGTTATAATGAATTGGAGAAAAGTTCATCTGACACATTGACTGTTTACGATGTTTGAGGACACAGAAATATAAACTACTATATTTTGCTGTATGGCACCTTGAAAGTCTGGAAAGCTTTCAGGAAAAGGGAAATGAGCAGCATTCCAACCAGTAAACAAACATGTATAAAGGCATTCCAGATAAAAGAATCTATGCAAAAAATGACGTAAAGGAATGAGAAGGCAAGGCATGTACAGAAACAATGTCCAGCTTCCTAAAGGACTGAATACAGCAGGGGCAAGTGCACTGAAAGAACATGTTGGTTCCAGTTTGTGGCATGATTTGAATGCCATTGGTAAACATTTGGAATTTATTCTCTTGGTGATGGGAAGCTATCGATGGTTTTGCTTGGGGGAGAAACGTTAAACAGCGATCTTAAAATCTTTATTTAATATCAGGCATCATGCTAAAATGTAATACGCATAATCTTGCTTAAACCTTGCAATAAGTCGGAGAATAAGATTGTAAAATTGAGGAAACAGATTTTCAAAAAAGATAAATAAAATGAAAAGGTAAAACAGCTTGAAAGTACAAGAACTCGTTTAAAAACAGGTATCCTAATTTTGGGTTCCTGGTTTATTCCAGTTCACCTACCCGATTAAATCTGCTATTTAAAATATTTCTTTGGGACCATTATTTATGAGATATTCTATTGAAACAAAAAATTCAGTTGTAGAGTTCATATAGGAGTTTTCTGCAAAAAAAGAAAGAAAAAAACATGAAACAACAAGGGCCTGAACTAGAAAATGGGATGGAAATAAAAGGGCAGATGAGATAGGTTGTGTGAAGTTATTACACAGACCACTGGACAACTGGGTATTTTCCCTCTGGGCTAGTTTAATTTTGAAGAAGAAAATAAAAACTAAATTGCATTTTATTATTATTTATTTATATGATCAACTAGCTTAAGGGAAGAAAAATTAAAATAGCAGTAGAATATAAAACCAAGTGCCAATAAGGCCTTTTAAAAGAATGGATACTATAATATCATTTCTTCTTTCTTTTCTGAAAACAAACAAGAAATAAAAGCTTTCAATATTTTTAGGTTTTCAAATCCACCCACTTACACCTGTTCAGAAACATCTGTTTTCCTATAAAATAGAGACCAGAAAAAAACAAAAGGCCAACTAGTAACAACATATGGTGAAGAGAAAAAACTTCTTTGTTAGTTTATTTAGTTTTTGTTTGTTTGTTTGTTTTTTGATTTTTAGAATATATCTTTAAAACTAAACTGCACATGATTGATTAGGTATGAATATGGGAATCTCCCCCATTATACTTTGGATTCCTGGCACTCCCTTATTTGTTAATGTCATTAGTGCATCACTTATTTTCATATGGTTTTACAGATATGTGGTTATTCTGGGTATTTCATGGTGTTAATTTACTAAGATTTGGATATATAGAGAATACATTCCATTATCTTAGAATACAGCTAAAACTCCTGACATCTTTTATTTTGGAACTGCAATGACCTTAAGCACGTCTGAATTAATTATAATCTAGCACAACAATGAATCTTAGCAGGGTACTGTCTGGCAAAGAAGATGATACATTTGACTTGAGAAATAAACAAAAGAGACAAGCCGTAATTAAGATAGGGAAGAGCCTATTCCAGACAAAGTTAACAATAAGGGAGAAGATTCTGAAACCAAAACAAGCCTGGAATTTTCAATGAACAGAAAAAAGTCCGGTGTGTCTGAAGCCGGAGGAGATGAAAGGAACAGTGAAAGAGGAGCTTGAAAAGAAGGCAGAAAAACCATCAGGCTTGCTTTGGAGGCCACGAAGAAAATATTCTTTCTATTCACAATGGGAATTCATTGGAGTGTTTTAATTAAGAGAGTAACAGATCCAATTTACATTTTAAAAAGTTTACACTGATGTCTCTAGATAATGAAAGTGGGAGTGCAGGGATTGAAGCAAGGACACCAGTTAAGCAACTTTAACAAATCCAGATAAGAAATAATTGAAGTCTTGGGCTGGAGCATTGGAGATGATAGGAAGTGTTCATAGTTAGGATACAGAGTAGAAGAATAACAGATTTGGGTATAAATGAGCATGGAGTTTATGTCACTGAATTTATATTCAATTAGTCTATGTTGTGTAGAATTTATTTTTAAAATAACAAAGAATAATCAATGATATTTTTAACAATGATTAAATGAATAAAGCTAAAAATTGGAATTTCTCTATTTGGTACACAATGGTTTTTAGAATCAGGCTATTAAGCCATTTAATTTAATTTAATTTAATTTTTTGATACAGGGTCTTACTCTGTCACCCAGGCTAGAGTGCAGTGGCACAATCACGGCTCACTGTAGCCTTGACTTCCCAGGCTCAGGTGATTCTCCCACCTCAGCCCCAAGTAGCTGGGACTACAGGCATGTGCCACCACATCCAGCTAATTTTTATATTATTTGTAGGGTTAGGGTTTTGTCATGTTGCCCAGGCTGGAATAAAGCCATTTTAATTCATAAAAGGACACTGACAATATACCATTTATACCAAACACAATTGTTTATTCACATGATTTATTTTTTATAAAACTTCTGAATATCTTACTGTGTCATTTATCTGCTCTTAAACTTGTTGAATTATGTTATTATAGCAGAGGTTTTATTTAAGGCACCTGTCATATACAAAAATTTCAAGAAAAATAGGTAATTATGCAAAGAAATGTATAAGAGTTAATTTTCAGTGTACATGAGACTTTGGTTTTTCTGTACACTAGTAAAATATAACTGAATCATTTAATAGTAAACATGGCCAATACTTCCAAGCCTAATTTCAACTAGAGAAATGCCTATTTGGTTGGAATTGTGTGAACAGTTTACATTTTCTGCTAAAATATGTTCAAACTCAAGTAGTGTTTGTATAATGAGATAGTCTACCTTAAGCACTAATAATGGTTTGCTGCATGATCATCATACTAACAATGTGTTGTCATTTATCACACCTGCCATTGACGGAACTCTAAGAATTTCACAAACAGCCCCTCATTAATCTATTCATCTAGCTCCTTTCTCCTTCAAAGCTTCTAAGCTATTTAAGAAATTATGTAGCAACTATGGGAAAGAGATTTTGGAACATTCAATGAAAAAGAAAGGACTGAAACAGGGTTTCAGGGTTGCAAAGATGTAAATTCCATGTGAAACAATCGGGAGAACTGACACAATTATATATAATTATATATTATATAAGATATATATTATATAGATAAGATATAGATAAGATATATATTATAGATAAGATATATATAAGATATATTATATAAGATATATAAGCTATATACATATAATATATGTATATGTTAATATATATAAGATTATTATATATATAAATTCAGTGACATAAACTCCGTGCTCATTTATACCCAAATATATATATATATATATATATATAAAAAATCAATTTCTGTTTTTTTAATGGGAAACACTCTAAATATTTAGATCAAGTTCTTCATTTTAAAAATTGAGCATCTCTGTCTAGTTTCTTACTCATCTGTTTTCCCTGGCAGTTTGGAGCTTACTGAAGACCTGGGGGTCTGTCACACTAAAACAAATTATGTGTTGCACCAGTACTATATAATTATAGCTAAAGATTGTTTCCCATGAAACTAAATTTGATGCTATATTCATATACAATATACTCAGTATTCTAAAATATTCTGAAATATTATTTATACTGTTGAATAATAAAGCATAAAGCCTACTCTGAATATCTTAAATAGGTATATGTTCTGATTGATTGGCATAAAATGTTAGACTAGTTAGAATGTAATTGTTCTTTAATTTTATAATCTATAGATCTACTTATTAGATTATTTATTTTATAAGCACTTACAGAAAACCCTCGTTTGATAGCTGTTATATAATTTCCCCAAAATACTAAACCTTAAGCAAATATTTTTTATAGACAATAAATAACTCTGAAAAATATTCTGCTGATAAAATGAGTTAACAGTCACCTGAATTTAAGGAACTGAAAAGTTTTAGAAAGACAATAGAGAGATAATTTATATTTACAAAGATTAATTCCCACAACAAAAAGATACTTCACATTACAAAAACATTCACATTAGGATTTGTATAGACATCCCTTTAGATAGCCCTGTGTAAACTGTATATTTTATGTTAAAATATTATTTAAAGCTCATACAATGGAAAACTATTTATACTGGGAAAATATTTAGGTTCTTAAAAGGTAATAGGTTTGGATATAGTTGAGAAGCTGCAAAGGTTCATGAGAATGTAGTAGCAAGCAGACCCACCCAATTAATTGTGTAAATGTTAAATCAAGCATTCATCTATAGGTGAAATAGGCAAGTCAAGATAAAATGTCTTAATTAGAAAATGGCAGTCATATTTCCAAGTAGCATATATAGATGTAAATCTCCTTCTGAATAAATGGAATCAGGGCACCTAATTGGATTGAAAAATACTGTCGCTTAAACCTGTCTCAGCTTAAGCACAAACCATGCCTTCCTTATTTTTAATGAAAATCAGAATTACCTGCGGAAGAAAGACTAAAAAATGACTCAAAACTTAGTAATTATTGGTACTGGCTAGAAACCTGGGGATGTTTGATCCCAATTAATCTTAATTGTAGAAGGAATATTACAACAAACACCTATGTAGACACTGTCTCTGTTAAAATTCAGCCACTTTATCATTATGTTATCAAAAACTAATTTTTAAGTGTTACAAAATATATAGGTGGGGTTGAAGCCCCTCATGCTCATCTTGCATTCCATGACCCATCTGAAAAGGTACTAAATATGCTTAATTTTGCATTTTTTCAAAACCATTCATGGTTGCATATATTTACCTCCTATATTTGTCTTTATGGAGTAGGAACATTATTATTTTGTATGCTTTACGCTTTATATAAGTGCTATGTCCTATACATATTTTTGTGCAACTTGCTTTTTGCCATGATCTTACATTCTTTAATATTTATCTTTGTTGATATGTATAAATATAGCCGATTCATTTAAAGTACCCTGTAGTATATCACATTATGGATATATTATAATTTATTCATCTATTCACCTGTTAATGAACATTCAGATTTTCTTCTATCATAATATAGCGATGTTCTCTTCTGTTTACGTCTGTAGCCCAGCCTGGAGTGCAGTGGCATGATCTCTGCTCAGTGCAACCTCCGCCTCCCAGGTTCACATGATTCTCCTGCTTCAGCCCCCCAAGTAGCTGGGATTACAGGTGTACACCACCACGCCTGGCTAATTTTTTTGTATTTTTAGTAGAGACGGGGTTTCACTATGTTGGCCAGACTGGTCTCGAACTCCTGACCTCGTGATCCACACACCTCAGCCTCCCAAAGTGCTGGGATTACAAGCATGAGCCACTGCGCCCAACCTATGTCTTTTTAATCACATGCATGTTTCTCTGAAAATTATTTTCACATCTTTAATTTTACTAGATATTATCAAATTGATCTAATTGTATTTACTATTATCTGCTCCATCAAAGAGCAATCACTAGTGGTTTCATTCATAACTATACATATTATTGCCAGGGGTTTAATTTTTGTATCATATTGGTGATGTATTATTTTATAAAATATAAATGATCCTATTTCCTAGGAGGCATGAGCATCTTTCAGTGTTACCTGACCATTTATCTCCATTTTGTGCTGCTATGACAGAACACCACAGACTGGGTAATTTATAACAAACAAACAGAAATTTACTGGTTTATGTTTTTGGAGGCTGAAAAGTCAAAGATCAAGGGGCTGGAATTTGGTGAGGGTCTTCTTGCTGCATCATCCCATAGCAAAAGAGCAAAGAAAGGGCAAGAGTGAGAGAGAGAGAGACAAAAGGGTGCCGAATCTGTCTTTTTATGAAAAACCCAATACCAAGATAACTAGCCCATTCTCATGATAATGACAATCCATTCATAAGGGCAGAGCTGATAGGGTTTGGCTGTGTCCCCACCCAAATCTCATCTTGAATTGTAATCCCCATAATCCCCTTGTGTGAAGGGAGAGACCCAGTGGGAGGTGATTGGATCATGGGGGCAGTTTCCCCCATGCTGTTCTCATGATAGTGAGTGAGTTCTCATAAGATTTGATGGCTTTATAAGTGTTTGACAGTTCCTCTTATACACACTCTTCTCTCTTTCCTAACAATATTCCTGCTTCCCCTTGCACCACGATTGTAAGTTTCCTGAGGCCTCCCCACCCAGCCATGCGGAGCTGTGAGTCAATTAAATCTCTTTTCTTTATAAATTATCCAGTTTTGGGTATTTCCTTATAACAGTGTGAAAACAGACTAATACACAAGAGCCTTCATAGCCTTATCACTGCTTAAATGTCCCATCTCCCAACAGTGCTACATTGGGGATCAAGCTTCTAGCACATAAACTTTGGGGGACACATTCAAACCATAGCACCATTTATTTATCCTCTGATATGAACCTTACCCATTTTATTTGAGATTGTTTTTAAATCTTAAAGATGTTTTAGTTAAGGATATGAATAATCACATCACAGAGAAAGATAATTAAATAGTCAAGTAACATGTCAAAAACTGTTCATTCTAAAGAATGTTCCAGGATATAAAACCCATCTTCTTGGTATTTGGTATGAGTGTCTGTTTGGGTTTATTCCTGATTACATATATTACTATTAAATTTTTATCTTTTACTTAATCTAAAGGAAATTATATCCTGTTTAGTGAGCAGAAGCATCATTCAATTTTCATAAAACCCTAAAAGTTAATAATAATAATATGACATTTCATTGACTTAGACCTGGAAAAGTCCATCAACTGGCTCAAATTCACCTAGTCAGAAATGAAAAATGTCAGGTTTGAAACTGAGGGGTATCATTCTATGCTGTTATTTGTTTAACCATTCCACTAATCCTGGTACCTCTTATTTCTTTATCTTTTACTTCCAGACTCGTTAAGAACATGATATAATGTTAATAGAAGCTCTGGTATTAAGAATATTAAGAAATTTTTATCTATTCCTACCTTTAAATGAAACACAATTAACATATCAGTTTTGGTAATAACATTTGTTTTTAAATTGGTAGAGTAGCTCTATAGCATAGTGATTAAAGAGAGTAGACTAGAGCCAAGCCACCTAAAATGCAAATCCAAGTGATATGGTTTGGCTGTGTCCCCACCCAAATCTCAACTTGAATTGTAATAATCCCCACAGGTCAAGGGCAGGGCCAGGTGGAGATAATTGAATCATGGGGGCAGTTTTCCCCATAATGTTCTCCTGATAGTGAATAAGTCTCACAAGATCTGATGGTTTTATCAGTGGGAGTTCCCCTGCACAAGCTCTCTTGCCTGCCACAATAGGAGCAGATAGGAAGAAACAGGCTGTTACCCAGGCACTTACCCACCCTCCATCCATTGACAAGAATAAGGTTTTCATTTCCACATAGTGTGCTCTGGCCTGTGTTTTATTAGCTTCCCCTGTAAAATAAAGGGAATGAAGTAGATAATTTATGGATCTTTCTAAAACAACATGTAGATAGCAATTGATAAATGAAAGAGGTAGAATAGTCAGAAAGAAAAGAGTTTTCTAATCAAACACTGATTCTGAATCAACTGACTACCCCTAAGAAAAAACAAATAATATTTGCTATTTTACACTGTATACAACATAAATTTCAAAGTAAAATCTTAAAAAATAAAGTCTTAAAATTTTAGAGGAAAATATTTTGTATTACCTTAGTACAGAAAAATAAATTTAAAAACAGGAATTGGAAAGTATAAAACTTAAAGAAAAATAGAATTAGAATTGACGATCTTAAAATTACATCTATGAAATACTAAAATATCAATATATAAACATTAAAGTATAATTAAAATATATAAAATGTTAACACATAAATTTACTAATAGTTATCCATAACATATATATAAATTATATAGATACATACACAACAAAGTGGAAACAATGTCTGTGATGAGCAGAATATAAATATACTAGTATCAGTAAGTTAAAGACAAAAAAAATGAATGCAGAATGGGAGATTTTTGGTAGACTTTAAAAGACAACTAGAATTTTCCACATGAAAATTATTTCAGGTCAGGCACATTGGCTCATGCCTACAAATCCTAGCACTTTGGAAGGCTGAGGCAGGAGGATCACTTGAGCACAGGAGTTTGAGACCAGCCTGGGCAACATGGTGAAACCACATCTCTACAAGAAAAAAAAAATAGCCAGGCATGGTAGTGCACGCCCATAGTCCCGGCTGCTTGGGAGGCTGAGGTGAGAGAATCACCTGAGCTCAGAAGATTGAGGCTGCAGTAAGCCATGATCATGCCACTGCACTCCAGCCTGGGCAACGGAGTGAGACCTTGTCTCAAAATTATACAATATTCTTTAAAATTCAAAGATGATAAGCAGTTACTCTTTTTAATTTCCTTCTGGGGTAACAAAAACATGTTAGAACTAGATAGAGGTGGTTGTTGGACAATATTGTCAGTGTACTAAATGCCACTGAACTGTTAACTTTAAAACGATTTTTTGTTATATAACTTTCACCTTAATAAAATCAAAGACATTAGGTAAAAGGAATCTTGTTAATTTGATCACAGAACTTAAAATTAAGTTATTATGGTTCTCTTAAATTAAATTATATCATTAAACAGAGAACAATTTGATATATTTAAATATAGAATGTGGTTATTGTAATGTACTAAATATGGAATAAAAAGTTATGATTCTAAATTCCTGACAATATGAAGGACAAAGAAAAGTTAGAACACATCCTCTTTGCCAGATGTCTAGCACAGTAAGCCAAGGTGTTGCTTGAAACAATATTTTGCACACTGCAGAAAATGTTTTTGACTTTCACTGAGATTTATCAAACTGACTTATTCGTTCTCTGATGGCTGCATGTTCAAGGGGCAAAAATTATTCCCATTTTCTCTTCTTTTAATTCTTTCTCTTTCCTTTTAACATCAATTTACCATTTTACAATTCCTAAGCCGCAGATAACTACATGGATATTCCCATTATTTCATTTCCACTTCCTCCAGAGGACTAGCTGACACGGGAGTAAATCTGAGATCAGATTGTTCAGGATGAACGTCATTTAGAGAGTTGGTCTGGGAGTGGAAAAACACGATGGTTGGAATATGCTCTCAAGGTGCCAGACTCCCTGGCTTTAAATCACAGCTGGTAATTGATGCGGACTCCCCACATCAACTATGTGACCTTGGAGAGGTGACTTAAATCCCATGCACATTAGTTGCCTGACTTGTAAAATAAAAATGACGATAGTAATAGTACCTACCTCCAAGGGTGTTTTTTTTAAGAGTTAATATAGAACATTTAGAACAGTTTCTGTCACATGGTAAGAGCACAGTAAATTTTAGCTATTGTTATGATCATCATTAGTAGTACAGCTTGAAAGCAAAGTTTGTTTCTCATTAGGACATCAAATTCTGCTCATAAGGAGTCTAATGGTTTTTGAATTATGAATCAATGAGTATTAAGAGAAGAAACTGCAGCACTGGGAGTCACACACCAACACTCACTCTTTGACTATAAGTATTTGACGGTATACAAGTGTGGGAGCTGATTAAAAATACATGTAAGGCTGCTGTCCTTGTGTCTGGTACTGAGGCTGAGCTCAGAAAGGGAAATGAAGCAACAATAATATGCTTGTTACATGCAGGGGGGCGGGGGTTAGCCAGGGGTCCTATGCACTGTTGCAACTTGCTCACATTGTCACTGGTAGCTGACTTACCTTGTTAGTGTGAGGCAGTAGACAGGCCAGTTGTTACTGAGGTTCCAACCAGATTCTTTTTTAGTTACTTTGATTTTTGTCACAAGTGCCATTTACAGCTCTGATGAAGGACTCCAGCATTGCCTGCAGGACAACCAAATCATTCAAGTTGGAGACTTGAACATATTGAAAGATCATTGTGAGTCTCAGTTCATCAGGGATCCAGACATTGATTATGGGTTTGTCCTCACTCTCACCACTTACATATCTGACTGCCTTTTGACTCAGTAGACCTTTCAAAATTCATGCCAAACTCCTTTTGTTCCAAGTCTGTTCCAGTAACTTGGAACTCTTCAGTGAAGGGGTTTCTTAGAAATGTAGCTGCAGATTTGCTATTGAGAGAATACAAACCCATCACAGTCAACCCCTTTTTTAGCTGGCTTCCAATTACACCTCTTTGAGCCATACTGAATTTCTAAATAAAGACAGTAACAAACCCATACTTTCACCTAACATAAGGCAATTATCCCTCACAAAACCAAAAACTTGCTAGCCCTCTCCCCAAAAGACTATATGAATTTTCTTCATCTATTTCAAACTGATGTTCATTTATCTTCTAGTTGAGTCACATTCCCCTTTTGATATTCTGAAATGTAAGTACTAAAATATGAAATTGACTGCTATTAATACACTGTATTGTAGACAGTAAGGAACTGGGAGAAGTAACGATAAAAAAATGCTACTATATACACAAATCTATTCAGATCAAAGTAAGGAAGGTTTTGCATGATCAATGCAGTGTTCATTTCTACAACTGGTTGTGTCAACTTAATTAGGATTTATTACTACCTTTTTCCACCACCCATTCTATAACCCCTTTACCCTCAGCAAATACCTCAGCTGGTTATGGTTTCTTGTTGTATAGAATGTCCCACATCATCATTCTTGAAGGATCTGAACCATTATCAGGTCTGCTTACTTCAGGCCATTGTAATTTTTTTAATTGATTTTAATATTGGGATATGTGAGTAGTGGGAGGCATTCCACGGGATCTCCCTAGATTATTACAGAAACATTTTTCCCATGATTTTGTATTGTATTTTCTATATGTATTATATTAAATGCATACATATGTATTTATATTTACATATATATCAAACAGGGTATTTAGTATAGATGTTTGACCTAATGCCATTGTGTGAGCTGTTTGTTTAGTCTCTGTGAAGCTGTTATACACAGCCTGAATTCCACAGACCAGTAAGTATAAAAGGGAAGATGGGTAAGAAGTTGGTAAGAGCTAAGACAGACTGGAACTCACAACCACACGGTGGAACCCCTGAGGACAGAGAGGAACCCCCATCAGTCTTTACCACCTCTAAGCCTCCAACTGTGATGCTGCAAGTGTTCTGCAAGACACGCTGATGCCTTTCAACAAGGAGCTAAAAATGTGCCTCCCTGGAAGTCAGATAAGTCAAGTGAGGTTTCAGATGAGCTACATTAACTAGGAATTATGCATGGAAGGCATTCTGAAAAACACACTTTTAGCCTACCTAAATTGGTGCAACAGGGTACCACAATATATTCCAAGTCAGGCAAGCAAACAAACAAACAAACACTCTGTATCAAAACGCAAGAGGTTTCTAATCTTCTAGAACTCATCCCCAGTGGTACTTTTGTTTGTTTTGTTTTGCTTTTTTCAAAATCAGAGATTAAGTTCTTACGTTAAAAATGAAAAACACTCTCCTAGAAGTTAATGTTCTACATTCCAGACTTGGTTTTGTAACTCAGTAAGTTTGTGACATTCAGGAATTTACTTTTCTAAACTAAAGCTTTGCCTCCCCACCTATAATTGGAACAAATAACCCAGCCTCTTCTTATTCACCTATTCGTTGACATAAACAAAGGAAATAATGGATGTTGAAATGTTCTGTAGCTTACAAAAAGTAATATACAGACTACTAACAGAATTATTAAATTTGTTTTTGCTTTTGTGAACAACAAAGACAAATGATGTCATCAACTACGGAGAATATAATTGATCTCGATTCCTTATGTGGCCTCAGCCCAGGTCCTTATGACAGTTTTTTCAGCAGTTCAACAAGCTGCCCGCTTTATGTGTGAGGCATTTTCCTTCCATGCGGCCAGCAGCAGGAAATGAAATCCATCACAGCCCCATGTAGGTGGTTAATTTGTTTGAATTGTCATTTAGCTAGATCTTCAGTATCTTCCTAATGATCTCCCTGGTGCAATGCAGTGCGAATCTTCCATGTTACTTGTCATCAAAGCAGCTGTTTTCAAAGATGCTATTTGCTTTTATTTTATGGATTAGTATCCTTTTTTACTTTAGTGACAAACACATTATTATATACAGGATATTTGGGCAAGCACTGGAGATGAAGTTTGGAGAGGGGGTGATTTTTTTTTTTTTTTTTTTTTTTTTTTTTCTTGAGATGGAGTCTCACTCTGTCACCGGGCGGGAATGCAAAGGCATGATCTCGGCTCACTGTAACCTCCATCTCCTGGGTTCAGGCAATTCTCCTGCCTCAGCCTCCCAAGTAGCTGGGATTATAGGTGTATGTCACCATGTTCGGCTAATTTTTGTATTTTTTTTTTTTTTTTTTTTAGTGGAGATGAGGTTTCTTCATGTTGGCCACACTGATCTTGAACTCCTGACCTCAGGTGATCCACCTGCCTTGGCCTCCCAAAGTGCTGGGATTACACACGCCACCGCACCTGGCCACAAATCACTTTTCTACCTATAAAAATCTCCGCCTACTCTAAAAGAAAGACCACAAATAAGATGAGAGAGAGAAATTTCTATTGGAGTCAAAAGAATAGGAGTTTGTTTCAACTGAGGACAATTAGAATAATATCTTGAAGATTCATTGGAACCAGGCCTCAAACAATACTCCAGATTTCCTTACTTAGAGAGGGGTGTGTGCTTTTCGGAGGTATGGCAGAGGGAAAACTAGAGAGAAATGATTACGTCTATAAGAAAAAGTTGTCATGAGCCTGGTGAGTATAAAGTTGAATAACATAAGAAAATGATTTGTCCATGTCTCAGATAGCAAAGGCCACCTAATCAGTTAGAACCTACCCCAGGAGCAAAAGTAAGCCGTGTGAATGGGCTCGTGATACAATCAGAGAAGTGCTTAGAGGGTTGCTCTGTTTTTCCACCTATAAAAACATAAATCTGGACCCAGAGTCAAAGTCTTGGAAAATACTTGGCTTATTTTTGTATTAGTGCCTGTATGGGGAAAAGATTCAATGAGGATAGAGATTTGGTTGAAAAAAAGAAAGGATATGAAATGCAGACCAAAAAAATAAATAAATAAAGACATTGTGTTGTATCAAATCTCTGTCACTTAAAATTATTACCTTCTCTCCTTTGAAGTAAGACATTCTTTCTTCACACACAAAAAGTTATGGTGACAGGATTATCTAACACAACAACATATTTTGAAATAACACTACTGGAAAAAATCTTATAGACAATCATGAGAGAATTAGGATTCTTCAAATTCCCCTATGACCCTTCTCCCCATCATTTCAGCTCTAAAAGATTTGGAGGATCACTTTGGGATACAGAGGTAATAATTGAATGCAGCTGTGCTCAGGGAATGGCTTCAGATTCTCCATGGGCGAGCTGGGCCATCAGCTCACCTCTACAGTCAACAGTAAACCTGGTGGCTTAATTGAAAGTGGAATAATTCACATTCCTTCCCCAAAACACAACATACAAAGATGTACTCACTGATGCGCATCATCGACTTTTCTAGCATCAGGTGAATGCAGCACAGCTGGCCAAAGGCCAGCTCCCATTTTACCCCCATCACTTGCTTCTTCCATCACATGTTTATCTTTTTAACTTTGCAAACATCCATGCTATATTAATTATGCATGTTTCCATAATTTTGCACACGCCACATGCTTTTCTCTTTGCCTCGAGTACTGTAATCCTTCATTCACCCTGTCTGAACAGGGTGAATATTTTCTTACTCAGAAATTCAAGAAAAAATATCACTTTATCTCTCTAACACTAAAAGTTTTGAGAAATATTTAGTTATTCACTCTCTTATCTGTTAAAATTGTACCATGTGCATGCCTCTAGTGTTACATTTAATCACACACTGAATCATATCAGTTCATATATAGTATATCCCTCAGCATGTATATACAGTTCCATAGCCTGCATTTTATGCAATAACCTATATCTAGCTGTATTTTATTGCCCTGTTCTTGATTATCCTTCCCCATAACTTTCTTACCTACTTCTAGCTTATATTATTATATAGTATACGGGGTTTCATAGATTACCTAAGTCATATTTGGTGCAAGATGAGGTATATATAAATGCACAAATGTGTGAATAAACGAAACAATAATCTCTCCTCGCTTACTGGCCTGTTCAATCCTTGAGGCATCCATTGCCTTTGGGGTGACCTTTGATGTTTCTGAAGGTGGCAGAATAAATGGCATTCAACAAGTGCTCACTGGAGTTTGGTTAAAGAAGCAAACGGTAACTTGTTGAGAGCTACTTCTTCATACTTTTAAACAAGTGAATTAGCATTTCCATCCTAACTGATACTTTTGCTGAAAGAAAATGTGCATGCTTTAAAATGTGAATAAAAGGTTATTCTTGTTATGTGGATTAGTAAGATTTTTTTTTCCTAGTGTCTTTCTCAGTGGCATCTACAGATCAACTTTAGGCATTCTATATAACAAGTCTATTATAGATCTACATGCTAAAGACAAAGGGTAAAAAAATCTGTTAGAGTCATTTTGTGTAAATGTAAACTGACTGCCTCTTGCTTTAATCACTTACTTGCATCTTGCTAATCTCATGGCTTCACCTTTTTGACACTAAAAGAGAGGGGAAAAAAACTAAATTTCTTTGCATTGAAATACATAGAACACTGAAGTTAGATAAAGTGTAATTTTTTTTAACTGACTACTTGGCTTAACTCGGTTTTATTAGTTTTTTATAACTGGCTCCTTGTGCAAATGTATTTGATGGACTAAACAGTATATACCTGTACAAATGTGCATGGGGACTTTAAGAATGGTGGTAGATTAGATATTCGTAATGGTTTAGTCACAGTGTACATAGCTTTAAAATAAAATAACTTTAGCAATAACAGTTAAAATAAAGTAACTGTTTAATAGTCTAGTGAAGTTGGTAATCTACCAATGAACATGTCATAGATATGTAACAATGATATGATAAAGAATAAATTAATGCAAGGAAATGGAGTGAGCTGTTGTGCTGCTGTAGATTTGTTGGCCAAGAAAAAGAGATCTCCCTGAAGAGGTAACACAGGAGAAGAGGAACATCTGGGAGGCAGGCTTTCCTGGCAATGGAAAGGGCACTTTTACAATGCTGGACCAAATATTCTCTGCAATCTATCTCAACTCAGTTGAATGGCAAAAATCGTCAAGAGGTGGTTGACAATACAGATAGCCTCCTCAACTTGTGAGAATCTCAATGTTCCTGAAAGAAATTCCTGCTTTTTACTAGTTTGTTGTAGCTGTTACTGTTTCTGTTAAATTAAAAGTCCCCAATGAGATGGTTGTTGAGATCAGTAATTTTATATTGTATGAGATTTGAAGAGAGTAAATGCTTCTTTTTCGACATCTTGTTTACTTAAGTCAGTTGGCATCATTTTCAATGAGAAAACAGGCGAAAGTAAATGTGTAAATAGAATGACATAACAAAGTATGAAAGAATCAAATGCAATATGATGAAAAAGTTAGTGTTGGCCCCAAGCACTGATTACTGAA